TGCAGGCTGCTAATGTTCATGAAGCTGGTGGCGATGTACTCCTGCGCTTTTGTGACAGTGGTCATTAGTTTGGATAGACAGTCCGCCATCCTCAATCCGCTGGGAATCAGTGAGGCCAAAAGGAAGAGCAAAGTCATGTTGGCTGTGGCCTGGACCATGAGTGTCATCCTTTCACTCCCTCAGGTAAAAGAGGACATGGTGTTGCTACCCTGTGAGTTTGCAATTTAATGAGGAAAAAAAAGTGAATTAATTTTTAAATTTTATTTAAACCCAAAATTCAAGTTTTGATCGTAAAATTTGAAAATACCACGTGGGTAAACTACAAGCGCATGAAAACACTTTTGAGTTTCAATATAAATTTCATTAATTTCTAGACTAAATAAACTAAAATAAATGATTAAAAAACATTCCACATTTGATCTCTCATATATTTTAGTATGAGAAAAAGAATTTTAATAATAAATCTCAGTTTTTCTATGAGGAATAAGCTCTAGTTGCTCATTGGCCAGACTGACCTTTAAGTTTAAAACAGAATTTTGTTGTTAATTGACAGAAATTGTCCCTTTTTTCAGAAACAAATTGTTTATCTCTTAGTTGTTTACTTTGGTGTAGTGTGAAGGGCTATGGTGCAGGTCTTTATCATTCGGAAAAGCTAAAAAATGTAATGTGTTTTATGATTTTTTAATATGTGAAAAAACAGCTCACATTTTCCAATGCTGTCCAGCAGGCCAGACTGGTAACTTTGTGAGACTGATGAAACCCCCCCTTATGCCTTTACCCTTCAGTTAGCACATAACAAAGGAGGATGGGGACCTTCATCAGGTTGCCTGCAGGAACTTAAGAATTCACAACATAACTTGTTATACACAGTGTTCATGTGACTAAATTGGATGCAATTTGCACACTTTTCAGTGTGCTTATCACAAACCAGTGTGGCAGAGGTGCTCACACATGGGACCTGCTTGAAGTTCAGTTTCTTGCCCAAGGGCACTTTGACACAGAGAGACAAAGTTCCGTTTAACAGACTTTTTAGACTTCACTTAATTTGTAGAGTGAGATTAGACAGGATGGTATTGGACTGGTTCTTATATAGTGCTTCTCTACTCTCTTTGAGCACTCCAAGCTCAAGTAGCATCAGGTCAAAAGTGGATGGAGCTGTTCTTTCTCGTGGCCCCCTTTACTCTTTGACCTCAGTAAACACTTTTCAGATGATTTTATGGTGTCAGCTGCAGGCCACAGGTCATACTGAATAAAGAATAAAGTCATTTTTGTACATTTGTAAATTATCGAGATTCTAAGTGTCAGGAAAGAGGATTCTCTCTGTTCACATCTGATATCAAAACACTAGGGGTGCAACAATACTCGTATTGATATTGAACCGTTTGATACAGTGCTTTGGATCGGTATGCATATGTATGAACAATACAAAATTTTTAATTTGTGTTGAGAGCTCAGTGGATCTGCGTTCGACTACTCCGCCTAGGCTGCACTATCGAGCGCAGTTCCACTGAGCGTAGCACAAGCTAGCAAGACAGAAGCTAAGCTTGTTGCAATATGGCAAATTGAACCTCCCCCACCCTCATTCAGATCTGGCCTTTGGGACTATTTTGGTCTTCATGTGAAGTATGACCCTGAAGGTAAGCCCCTCATGGACAAAAGTAAAACAGTATGTCGGATGTGCCACGCAATGCTCAATTACATGGGTGGGAAGTAGTGCGTTAGCGCAGTTTGCAAGTTAACATGTTGACACTAGTGATGGGATTTCCGGCTCTTTTTAGAGAACCGGCTCTTTCGGCTCGACTCACTAAAAAGAG